TGCTAGAACAAACAGTCCGACATTAGAAATGCAGTTCACCATCGACGCAAGCAGCAGTAACAAATATATCAGTAGTTGCACACGCGATCAAATTTAACCATTTAAGACACTACCAATACTGGGGCAACAGGCCATATTAGTCTTGTTAATCCTATTTATGTATAAAGCACATAGGTTTTCGACACAAAGAAAGCAGTCATGGAAGGGATAGGTGCACCTTAGTCAGAATTCACTTTTCTTAGGAAAAGATGGTAAGGTTAGAGCGATTAGACTCCAGATTCCTGTCCCCAGATAATATAATCCAATTCCCAGTATATTTACCGATCGTATCCGTCATTGCATTGTTTATTTGCTTGAATATCTATGCCGTGTTTTAACTTACCTGTGTCATTTTGTGTATTAGACTGTGTGTTATTGTTTCCTCTATTACTTGTGGGTGATTTGTGATTGTGTACATTGTAATCGTAGAAGTGCATTTTTCTGAATAGATGTTTTGTTAACTTTGATTCATTGTGTGTTCTACTTGAAGTTCATGTCTTTGTATTTGCTGTGTGCATGTGGTAACGGTTTACGAACACTATAAAAAATTCCAGGTAATCCTGATCATTAACCGTACAGGATTGTAGGTTATACCAGGCCAGTGAAGCCGTTACGTAAGACCCAGTTATGTCTTCTATGATGTTTGAATGTTGCAGCGATTTTGCCTTGCTGGGTTGCCAGGCAGAGTCAGATTTGTTTTTTAAATTTAATTTCATGGCGGCCAGAACTTCAGGTAGCTATCTAAAAAACAATAAGGCAGGGGTAGCTTAAAAAAAAAAAGGATGAATTCCAAATACCCTCGCCGAATCTTGCTGCTAGAGATGTGGCAACAGACCTTTTTTTATTATTTTCCCATCATCCAGGATGTAGTCTGAGGATTAACATCTCGAGAACAAGAATGGAACAAGTACGAATTCTGGAAACCCCGTTGAACGGTATAGTCATATAGCACGGTTATACTGAGACCGTACACTGCCGTTACAAAGTATGTTGTCTAGTGTGTGCAAACCCGATTTCGAACCGCTTTTAGTCTGTATCGGCTATCGAGTGTAGCACTAATCTTTCAGGACTGCATACACCTTAATGTGGAATTGCTCAGTAAAACCATAAAGAGTCAGTCAAAGCTGGAGCTCGTTTGCGAACGTCTGGTGAAAGATATACATCATACTGATGTAAGAAAAAGATCCTTTTCCTCACCCTCAGGCGTATTAGGCATATAGCGCACCCAGTGTGTGATTTAGTCAACACTACGTCAGCCATCTTTACTTCCCAGTACTTTGCCTGGTACCCTTTTAAGGATGGGCCGACCTGGAAGCAAAGATCAGTTAAAAAAAAAAAAAAAAAAACTTGGTCCGCCAAGACACGAACCCACAACCTTCCAATCTGCAGGCTAGCTACACCACGATGGATGCCGACTGATCTCTAGCTTGTGTAGTCACCAAATATGGCATGGTAACGTAAATAAGTTGAGGTCTCGCTATTACGTTTCCTTGTGTGGCCTCCCGGGACCCATTTTTGAAGAAGAAAAAAAGTTAGATGAAAATGTCAGTTCACAAAGAAACAAAGGTTTGTATTCTTTTCCTCTTGTTGCAGCTGGCACTATTAGCATGTAGATTCTTCGTTGGAAACTGAAGAAGGAGACGGAACACTTTTGCGAATGTCCCGAGAACAATGATGTCAGTTCTTGATTCATTCATGCATACTTTGTCAGCTGAGACGAGAAAGATATTTCTCAATACCTATATAAATCACGAACTGATCTGCAGATGTGAATCATGGACAGTTGGAGGATTAATAAAAAATGTTGGAAGAGGCGGAGATATGGTTTTATAGACTTTTATTCTTCAACATCCTGAGCTCTTGAGGTTCATTGCTGCGGTTATCACCCGCCTACACTCATCTATCTGATTGGCCTTCTCTTTCCATTTGGTAACACTACGTGTTTGCAGGGCTCTGTGGACATTATCTCTCCATCGTCTTCTTGGTCTGCCTCGTGGTCTACGATCATTGATGTCCCTTGTGTATAAAGTTTTTTACCTTTCTGTCATCTGACATTCTTTCAATATACCCGAGCCGTTTAAACCTATTTGCTCTCATGATGCAGATGATCAATGATGATTTTAACAGATTATATATGTCGTTGTTGCTTCTGACTCTCCATTCCCCGCTGTTTACATCTTTGATAGGTCTAAAGATTCGTTGTAATACTCTCACCATCTTTTTTTTTTTTAGTTGTGCTCCAACTTTCAGAGCCATATAAAACGACTGGTTTTATAGACGAATGATGACAATACAATGGATATATTTGAAAAAAAAAAAAAAAAAGTAACGACCATGTAAAGAAAGAAGCTGATTAAGAACATAAGTGGTTGCCCATATCAGAAGAGCAAGTCCAACAGTTACTACAGAGGAACGAAACTTCGACTCTACAAGAGCATCATTTTACCAGTTCTTCTTTATGGAGCGGAATTCTGGAGAATGACCAAAAAGGATGTACACAAGCTGTCCACCTTCCACCACACATGTCTACGTAGAATTAACAAAATTGTCTGGCCAGATACAATCTCAAACACTAAACTACTTCAAGTCACAAAGCAAGAAACTCTAGACAGTATGATATCCAAGAGAAGATGGAAATGGCTTGGCCACGTTATGAGAATGAATCCTGATATACCTGCCAAAACAGCTCTCACATGGATACTAGAGGGAAAGAGAAAAAAAGGGCGCCCAAAAACAACATGGAGACGAACGATGGAAAGTGACCTGAGTGTGGCATCTTTGACATGGAAAACTGCACTGAAGATTGCACAGGACAGGAAAGCATGGACAGTCCTCCCTGAAGCCTCATGTGCCACTAGGCATAACGGGAACTGATATCAGAATGAGACAATCTGCATGATTTGGTCATGTCCTGAGAAGGAGACCACGGGAGTACACCCTAACTGTGGAAAAGCTGGAGTAGAAAGGAGGCAGATGGATACTGAAAGAGAAGATATTGGACAGTTGGCGTCATAGAATGGAAGATCAGTTATGTCAGATTTGACTGAAAGTACACACGACAAAAGGTTGTGGTAGAACGTGACTGTCAAAGCCACAAAGGCATGGTCTTTGTTGTTTAGATTAAGTGGTATTCAGGCAAGTCATATGCAGTTGAATTAAAACCGGTATTATGAATTATCAAATTCTCTTTCTCTTCTTATTTTTTCCCACCTTTTACCTCAACTAGGTTTATTGGGGGGGGGGGGGGGGGATGTAAGGATCGTGTGTGCGCTTTTCCCAATACATTGTACAAGTTAGTTTTCATTTATGTTAGGTTGCTCCTGATGGTGTCGCTCCATTTCTTGCGTGGTCTTCCACTTGCTCTGTGTTCATTATATTTTTTCATCATGTCTCTCTGTGACAGTTGGTACAAGTGCATTCTCGTCAGGTGGCCAAGTCATTTGTTGTTCTTTGATGAATTGTATGATTGATTTTAGTCATAGTCCTCTTCTAATTTTTTCATTCCTGATTTTCTCTTCTTGTCACACCGGCAGCTCTCCTAAGACGTCTCATCTTTGTTGTTACGATGTTCCGCTCATTAGTTGTAGCTAGGGTCCATGTTTGGCACTGGTAGCACAATGTTGGCAAAAACAATCTGTTCTTATGAGATTTGCCCAAGAATTAACAAATAACGTTCATAATCAGAAGGCCACAGTCGCTGTCACTTTCTAATGTCACAATCATCATCATCAACATTATCATCAAGTTCCACTTCTGACTGGCGTTAGCTATCATGCCACTCCACAGCTTGCGATCGCCATCAGTATGTATCAGTTTATGTCTGATAACCCACAGTGAGATGACAGTAAGCTGTTCCGAAACTTCTTGCTTTGACATGCGTATGTATGTGTGCGTATGCATACACACACACACACATACACACACACACACACACACATATATATATATATATATATATATATATATATATATATATATATATATATATATATATATATATATATATATATATATATATATAAAATTATGTTTGTATGCATATGCGTGGGTGTGTGTATGTATGCATGCTAGTGGCTGTTTGTATGCATATGTAGCGGTGTAAGTATGTGGGTGTATGTGTGTGTATTTAGGTATGTGTGCAAGTATGTGTGCAAGCATGTATGTATGCGTTTAAAAATGTATGCAAGTATCTGAATGTATGAAGGTATGTGGGTGTATGTATGTGTGATTGTATGTGAGTGCATATGTGTGTGTTTGATTGTGGGCGTATGTGTGTGTGTATGTGGGAGTTTATATATGTGATTGTATGTGTATGTATGCATCTTTAGGTGTGTATGTATGGAGATGAGTGTCTGTCTGTCTGTCTGTATGTCTATGTATGTGTATAATGTAAGTGTATGTGTGTTAGTGTATGTATGGATGTATGTTCGTGTGTGTATGTATGCATGTATATTTGTTAGTGTTTGGATGTATGTATGTACTATGTATGTATGCATGCGTGCCTATATGTATGTAAGTGCGTGTATGTATGTATTACGTGTGTCTGTATATGAGTGTGCATATGTAAGTATGAGAATGTAAGAGTATTTGTAGTGTGTGTTTGAGTGTGTATGACTGTGTGTACGTGATGCGTGATGTAATAATATATAACGTATATTTTTTAAATTGTAAACATGCATTATTGACAATAGCTATTGGTACTCTGAAAGATAAGTGCTTAGGAGGGCGGAATGTCAGACGGGCCTGCGTGCCCAATCTGTAACCCTTTGAAAATAAAGTTTATTTGTTCGTTTGTTCATTCGTTCCTCTATCATTTGTTTTTCAACAGTTCTTTCCATTGGTTACCACATTCTTTCCATTGGTTACTATACATTCCTGTTTCCTTCTTCTCATCACATGAAACTCAAACTAGAGTCACAGTAACATCTTAATGGTTTCTCTCCTGGATGTTTTACCTACAGTATATTGGAGTTACGGAAAGAAAAGTCCCGAGACGCTGCAAGGTCAAGAAGAGGTAAAGAGAACTATGAATTCTACGAACTGGCCAAACTACTTCCACTTCCAGCCGCAATCACCAGCCAGCTTGATAAAGCTTCAATCATTCGACTGACCATTAGCTATCTGAAACTCAGGGATTTTTCCTCTCAAGGCGAGCCTCAGTGGACACCGGAAGGAAGTATGGGAGTCAGTAAACTTAGTAAAAGTAAGTGATTTTATCGTTTTCTCCATCTCTCTATCTGTGATTCTTTGTGTCTCTGTTTTGCTGTCACTCTTAGTGTCTCTATGTTTCGCTTTTTCTCTCTGTCTGTCTGTCTGTCTGTCTGTCTGTCTGTCTGTCTGTCTGTCTGTCTGTCTGTCTGTCTGTCTGTCTGTCTGTCTGTCTGTCTGTCTGTCTGTCTGTCTGTCTGTCTGTCTGTCTGTCTGTCTGTCTGTCTGTCTGTCTGTCTGTCTGTCTGTCTGTCTCTATTTCTCTCTCTCTCTCTCTCTCTCTCTCTCTCTCTCTCTCTCTCTCTCTCCCTCTATCTCTCTCTTGGTAGCGACGAATGTGATACATACCTGTGTACCAACTTTGTGACCCTTTGAATACAAAGTTTGTTCGTTTATTAGTTTTTTCGTTCGTTCTCTCTGTCTTTCTTTTTTCTCTCTGTCCATATATATCTCTCTCTCTCTTTGTCTCTCTGTCTCTCTGTCTCTCTCTCTCTCTCTCTCTCTCTCTCTCTCTCTCTCTCTCTGTGTCATTTCTTCTTATTTTGTTACAGTGTTGCGGTGGTAGTCAAGTCTGTCCACAACCTTCTGTACTGTGCACCCTCAATCATTTCTGACACAGGTGACCACCCATGTCATGATGTCAGACTGTCCAGCTTCTTTTTTCTCTTACTTTGCCTCTTTTCCCTTTCAACTGTCTCACATTCACGATGCACTCCCTGTCATGACTTAACCACATAATGTACGTCCCTAATCTGTACCTTTGCTTGTTCATAATACTAGACACAACAAACATCATAATTATTATCATCCTATCATAAAGTTTATGTGTCAAATAGGACCTAATCTATTCCTTAATTCTATTGTATCATGTGCAGTCTTTCTGATATGATTCAATGAGTCTAGTCCGGCACAGTTGGACACTCCCATCATCGCTTTTCTTAGATGTCTCTCAGTCGTCCTCGAAGCAAATGAAAAATGTATTTCAAATTCCAAACCTAGAATCATTGTATTCATAATAGCTTAGAGTGTTAAATAAGTCAAAACATAGCGAATAAAATAACACTACATAACAAGAATTTGCCAAAGTAAGGACTTAAGAGAACACTAACGAAATAGATGAGTTAAAAGAACACCTTGCAGAAAAGAAAAGTGACTAGCACTTCATAAATAATGCAGTAACATGATAAACTGCCATTTTTTCCCATGTGGATTCCAAAAGCCAGTTTTGGGGAAAACAGAATGACCCATATTAAGCATGTCGTAATAGGGGACTAATTAAGAACTTGCTGACATGTTTACATCAGAAAGGCGAGATATTGCAGCATACCTTTACACCACAAAATAATGTTTCAATCACTCTTCTAGTGAAGAAGAAGAAGAAGAAGAAGAAGAAGAAGAAGAAGAAGAAGAAGAAGAAGAAGAAGAAGAAGAAGAAGAAGAAGAAGAAGAAGAAGAAGAAGAAGAAGAAGAAGAAGAAGAAGAAGAAGAAGAAGAAGAAGAAGAAGAAGAAGAAAAAGAAAAAAAAAAGAAGAAGAAGAAGAAGAAGAAGAAGAAGAAGAAGAAGAAGAAGAAGAAGAAGAAGAAGAAGAAGAAGAAGAAGAAGAAGAAGAAGAAGAAGACGAAGAAGAAGAAGAAGAAGAAGAAGAAGAAGAAGAAGAAGAAGAAGAAGAAGAAGAAGAAGATGATGATACAGAAGAAGAAGAAGAGGATGAAGAAGATGTGTGTCTCAACAGCTGTTTGAAACAATAATATGCTTAGAATGTTTTTTCCAGGTCATCATCAGTCCCGATTGGACATTATGGATCCATTCGAATCCCGTCAAGGAACTCACATTTTGCAGGTTAGTACTGATTTGTCTTTGACTTGTCAGTCACTTGGCCCTTCTCTTCCTCTGCGCCAGTGGTTTTCAGATGAGAAAGCTACATGCCTCTATGAAGTCTGTGGTGCGGAGCATACATGTCAATGTTCCATTTAACTTGGTTTTCATTGGAATGCTTAATGTTTGATTGAGAATCGACATCACTCCACCCAGAACATTCTCATAAGCGCCCTGTCTTATTTTCTGTAGCACACGCAGAGTTCCACTTCCGATGAGATCAGTAATAAGTAATATGGTCTAAGGAGAATGGCGCTGCAAGGAGTTACCAGGGGATCTGCCGACGTTCAACACTCAGGGGAAGAATGAGAGGGATATACAATCAGACGGTTACTGGCACCATCGGAATAATAACTTTTCGCTTGCTGCTGAAGATGGGGACTGAGCACTAATGGATGTTTCCCTCTTGCTGTGATGTCTATCCTTAATTCAGCATTCAACATTTGGGATCAGTAAACAGTCTGATTGTATATCAATCTCACTTTTTTCCTTAGTAAAAACGTAGAGTAAAGGCAAAGTCGGGAGAGGTGAACCATAGTCATTGCACACGGTAATAAACCATAAGTGTTCTGCCACCAGTACTGACAGCTGATAAGAAACTCTCCGCCTGTGTCGCCGCCCGCACGCAACCGTAGTTTCAGCGACGTTCCTCCGTTTACCCCACAGTGTTAACTCTGGTACCCATTACCTAGAGGCTGGGTGAACCTCAGGAACCGCCTAGTTTCCAACCTCGGCCGTGTGCTGCAGCGAGTCGCTGCTGGATTTGAAAGCAAGTCTACTATGGACTGCCCTAACGCAGCTCTCTGAGTGTTGAGCCATATCCCCTGGTCACTCCTCGCTACACCATTCACTTCAGACCGCGATGATCCATGTGTGCCTCTTCACAGTTCCCTCGTCCTATCTTGTCCTTCATTAATTAACCACCAAGAGGCCTATTGGAACACTATCCACCCAAACACAGGATCTCTCAACTTTACCTGATTTCAAGTGTCTATACTTCTTCGTCGGCTCTGTGGCTAATCGATGCAAACGCTTCGTAATGCCGGGATGCCAGGTTAGATCCCACGCGCCTTGCGTTGGGTTCGACAGTGGTATCAAGAAAGTTGACCTCCAGAAAGCAAAGGCAAACTACTGGAATTTGCCTAGAGAAACCACACAACAGCCAGGGGCTGTTAGGGTTGGTTCTGCAACGTCCTGTAAAGGATGAGCAACTAACCTTTTTATGCTTCTTCTTTGCATTCAGTTTCATTTGCTTAGGACAAATCGTCAGGTGCACTGCCTCTTTGAATACGCTTGTTTATGTTTATTTGATAGATCAACATCATGGCACACGCGTGTAACCCATAACTGCCCCGTCTTACTTCTAACTCAACACTGAGTCTGGAGAACCTCAGCACAGTGTATGAACTCCGTTGCACTGGCAAGGATTCTAAAACGGCAGCGCCGTTAGACTACTCTTTTCGATTTTCAACTGCAAACGGATTCCGATCTTACTACCCAAAGACCAGGGAAAATCACGAGAAGTCCACGTGGAAAAAATCCCAGCCTTCACAGGGGCTTGAACCAGCACTCGAGCAGACACCATATTTCGAGACCTCTCAGCTCCCTTGATTACGCCTATCAGCTGCATGTCCTTCGTGGTTTCTCATAGTTTCTCTTCGCAGTTGTAATTATAGTGGGCAGACCAGCTAAATGTGCACAGGTGTTTGCTGCTCATTTGACATGCACACTGTGGGGACTGTAAATCCTTTTTTTTTTTTATGCATATGGTAGTAGAGTCTGCAGTGTCACGTTCTTAGACGAAAATATGTGTCTTCTCTGAGTTCTAGCGATTTAGCATGACAGTATTACTATTTTTCATCTAAACTATTATACTTTAGCTTTTTAGTCCTCAAGCAAATATTGAAAGCTTCTTTCATATAGTACGTGGACAAGTAAACGACGCTTCTCCACGCCATCAGCAGTATTAGGCATATAGGGCTTGACCTATATTTTATAAACGAATCAGCACTCGTAGGTGCTGTGGCCGCATCACACTGGCCGTTTTTACTTCCAAAGATTTTACCTGGTACCCATTTAAGGCTGGGTCGACCTGAAAGCCAAAATCATTTAAAAAAAAAAAGAAAGTTCTACTCAGTTCGGATTTGAACCCATGACCACCAGATCACACAACTAGCATCTAGCAGATACACCGCTACGGTTTCACTTGTAGCACATAATAATTTAAAAAAAAAAAAACAGCAGGTGAGAACAAATGTTTAATTTCGTCCTTTTTTCCAGTAGCGATTTTTAAATGCTAATTAACATGAAATAAAAACGAAAAAAGGAATATCCCACTGCTTTAGTTTTAAGCTGCTGACCATCAAATTAATACTAAGATTATTAAAATGCAAATTTTCTATTTGTCAGTAACAGCGATTCAAAACCACGTTTGACAGCGTCGAGAACTCTTGATGAAAAAAAAGTTTCTTCCGAGTTGACCCTTTTAATAAATAGGGTTTTCCTGGATCAGGGAAAACTAGCCCCTACAGATGGCTGTTCTTTGTCCAAACTCTCCAACCATGACAATTTGCTTACAACAAGAGATCATTTCTTTTATATTGATGACCCTTTCATTTTTCTCCGACGACCTAGTTTTCGTTGAGATAATCCGCAAGCGGCATCAAGCTACCGTTTCGTGACCTTTCCTTACACCTGCTTCTAAAAAAAAAAACGTTAGGGGATGTTTAAGAATTTAATAGACTAAACTCTTTAGAGATTCTTGCCACCCACTCCTGTCTGTACCACGTCTTCTAAAAATTCTTCTGGCTACTGTGCGGAGAAAACGTTTAAATGTTCAGTTATCTCAGATAACTACAAGTTATTCAGTATCGTCATGAAAGAGTTGAGACGACGGTGGGCTTTGTTTCAGTTCGGACAGGTCATTGTTGTGTGTGACGTCGCGTGTTCTAAGGTTCAGTCAAAGGCTATGTGTGTGCCCTGAGTTTTTGTGACTACTCACGCGTCACATGACCCTGGCTCAGATTTCACGATTACAGTTTTCCTCTCGTTACAGTAGCCTGATTTCCGAATTCTGATTCCTTGTCGGGGTTACATAATG